TTAGCCCTTTAAACTTCGCATCTAAAAAGTCTTTTACTATTGCTCGAGCCGTAATCTTATTATTAAGCCTTGCGTATAATAGCTCGTTTAAATCAAATAAGATATTCGATATTTCGTCGTTTAGTCTTTTTAAAAAGCTTAAGAGTCTTAAATATAAAGTTTCTTTTAATTAAATAATTAAAGGTTCCGTAAGTGATAATAAGATTCGAAAAGTATAATACTTCGCTTTTTATCGGCTAGACTCTTTACTCGTAAATCTAATTACTCGATCGGCTATAATTGCTATCTGCTCGTACGTAAATCGATCTTATTAATTAAGTTTGCTATATATAGCAAGCGCGGCTCTTATAGCCTTAAGGGTTATTGTTTTTAAAAATAACTTAATTCGGAATCACTTTTCCGTAAAAATAAAAAAAAATCGATAGTATAAGCAAGCGATTTAATACGGAATCGCTTTTTCGTTATAAAAAGAAAGAAGTATCGTATTAAAAAGTATCTTCGCTATAAAGTCTTAGCTTCTTTATAATTGATCACTTAATAGTAAATCAATTACTAATTAATATTGGATTGCTTTTAAGCGATTAAAAATATATTCGTAAAGTCGTAACGGTCGTTAAAGTACTTGCAATTGCAAAACACTCGGTTGATAAAGTATTTAAATTCTAATTGCTCCTTAAAGCTTAAAGGAGCTGATTCTTTTTATATGATTAGAAAGAATTACGTATATTAGCTAGCTAATAAGTTTACTAATCAAGTTAGGGTCCCTTGACTACTAATATGCTAAGCGAGGTATACCAAGTGGCCCGTGAACTATGGTTCACGGGTGAGTTCCCCACCTACTACTAATACTATTACTACTAGCTAAGGTCGATATAGAGATACCGACAAAACCGAAAGACGAAGACTATAAGGCCCTTAATAAAGTAATCTAATAGCTAATCGATTACTTAACTCGAAGGATCTATTACGTGCCTTTAAACTTAAAAACGGCGAAGCTTTTCGTATTCGTAAACGAAGCGTTTATTAATAACGCTAACCTTAGCTCTTAAATCGATTTCGTAGCTATCTTTAGCAATAAAGCTTACGTAAATAAGAACGAGTTTACTTTAACGGGTAATATCTTTTATTAAATATTATAAAAATGCAAAAAAATAATAAGAGCGGTATTAGCTTTTAAGCTATACGCTATGTCTTTAAGTATCGATATAGCTATTGCTATATCGACCACCTTTACTTAAATCACAGCTTAGCTAAGAATCCTTAATTTCTTTATAGTTATATGTACTAACTCTTACTCGCTTTACGAATGCATAGTAAAGCTAAGAATTACTAAAGAAAAGCGCCTTATGATCGATATTATAGCTATTCGAAAGTCATACGAGAAGCGAGAGCTCTTTAAGGTACGCTAGATCGGAGGCAAATCTAACCTTACTAACGCTATGATCAAAATCGAGGCTAATACTTTTTTGCAAAAGCTAGTTCTAACCAATACTTTAAAAGTGCAAGTAGATAGATAAATAGAAAGGCCGCTATAAAAAAAAAAAAGAAGAGATTATATTTTTTTTATTTATTTAATTACCTTTGCTTGATTACCTTCTTTTTTTTTTCGATCGATATAATAATTAGCAAAGCATTGCTTGCTAAAAAAAGAGTTGCCGGTGTCGGTATCTTTATATCGACCTTAGCTAATAGTAATAGTATTAATAATAGTTAAGAAACTCACCCGTGAACTATAGTTCACGAGCCACTTAGCATGCCTCGCTTAGCATATTAATAATCAAAGGACCCCAACTTGATTAGTAAACCTATTAGCTAACTAATATACGTGATTCCTTTTAATCATATAAAAGGAATCAGCTCCCTTAAGCCTTAAAGAGCAGTTAAAATTCAGATACCTTATTAACCGAGTGTTTTGCAATTGCAAGTACTTTAACGACCGTTACGACCTTACGAATATATTCCCAATCGCTTAAAAGCAATCCAACAATATCCATTTTCGGCTACTTTGATTCTCGTTTTATTAAGTAAATCGTTATTAAATATCTTTTTTTTAAATACCTTGCTTGGCATGATTATATAAAGGAGTATTGCGTAGCTAGCAGCGCAAATACACTCGATAATCGTAATGGACTCACGGTCTCCGGGATCTTTAGTATAAACTTAAGCGAAAAGATAAGTTAATACGTTTCTTATAATAAAAACGTAAATAAAAACGTACCTTTTTGATGTTAGCGTGAGTAATTATAATCGAGCTTTTAATACAACTTACTCGGAAACCGATTTCGTCGAGATTAAAAAAGTCTTTCTAATGAATCTCGTATTTATCGATCGCAGCTTGAAGTTTTTCGAAACAGCTAATTACATCTTTAGCTTTTATACAATCTTTGCGCCTTTGATCTAAAGGAACGGTTTGAATAGCGTGATATCGGCTAATAGATTCTTGTTTAGCAATCTATCGATAAAACTAATTCTTTTTTAATCGATCGATAACATTAGTGAAAGAGCATAAAGTAAGAATCATAACTACGGCCGCGGTAATCATATCGTGCTTTATTAGCAAGCTATATTCGATCGCTTTTTTTAGATACCAAATCAAAGAATTCTTTTGAGCTTCGTTTAATCGATTATTAAACCCTTTAAGCTCGGCAGTAATAGTTCGTTTAGATATTCGGCTTTGAATAGTCGACTTTAAAAGGCCAAATACATCTGCTGCGAGCCTTACGCTCGTGATATCCTTATTTAAAGAATTATTTAAAGCATAAATAGCTTTAATGATCTTGTCTTCTTTCGTCATTTGCTCTACGGTTGCGTATTTAAGAAGCTTTTTCAATCGGGCAACTTTTGCATCGTATCCGATCTGCTTTAGCTGCCGGTTACGTTTAGCCGAGCTCGATTTGCGTGATTTCTTAAGCATAAGAGCGAATTTTTAAGAACGAATAGTAATCGATGATGATGAATGATGATTAAAAGTGGTAGTAGAGTAGTGGTAGATGATTCGATTACGTGTTATCGAGCGATTTTAATAAGGTTGAAATTTCGAATACGCTAAGACTCTTGACGCACGGATCAGCAACGTCGAAAAGTATAAGAAAAGTACACTAAAAGTACCATTTTTACTACTTTAACTCAGCACAATAAAAGAATAACAACTTGTAATTAAAATTCGATTTATTAATTAATATCAAGCTTAATACGATGCATCTTTCTATACAAAAATAATTATTATATAATAGTTGGTTGATTTTCTATTTATTAAAAAGGACCAATTTTTACTGTCTCGCCTTGGTGGGTGTCCCGCTTTGGTGGTGCCGACTTGCTATAGCAAGTCGGTCAATTCTTTCGAATTAAAATTTAAGGAAACCGACGATTAATATATATAAAAAGTTCACCTCTCAACCTTTTCTTTATCGAATCTTATGACCGGTTTCAATACTTTCGACTACGGATGCGAGTTTTACGGGTAAGCAAATTACTATTACTATCCTTTAATTTAATTTGATTTCAAATTGCTAATTGAGATTAGTACGGACGTATGCATGGTCGACGATTCATATTTCGTTTATCGAGGTAATATCAGCGATCTTCTGTTGACCGAGTATAACAAATCCAACGACCGTATTAATTCGTTCCGTTGCGGCACATAAGATGTAAAAATTTATCGCGACATCGAGAGTCCGAGATACGATGTCGAAAGATACAAAGTGATGAACAGCAAAAGAAAGTCGTTTTGTTATCGTTAATAAGATCTGTTTAAATAGTCTTTCATTGCTAAGAAACTACGATTCTGTTAAATAGCTCCGCTTCTATACAAAGTTTCGTCACAAACAAACCAGCTTCTAAAAGTGATCTTAAAAAAAGCAATCTGTAAGCCTGCTTCGGTAACGTAAAGCTGCATCAGCAAGTACTCTAAGTGATATTATTAGGTATTATTGTTGGATCGCCGGTAGCGAGCGTTCGTAACTTCGTATTATTAACGTGCAGCGCACGTAGCTTCGGCAGTTGCAAAACAATCAGTAAAAATGGTACTTGATTTCTGTATGTCCCTCAAGTTTCAGGGGAGCTGATTTCTTCTAGAGCTATATCAAGTAAGTTGACGTAAATGGCAAGCAGCTTACGTAATATCAAAGCGAGCTTGGGAGTGCACCTACCAAGGTATATACGCGCAATTAAGAGTTCACAGAATTTAAAGAGGCGTATTTATTTAAATGATTTGAAGTTCGAAATAATAGTATATTTCTAATCTTCAATTGTTAGTACCGGTACTTCAATCACGTTGTCTGCCATTTTGGGATTCTGCCTCCCGTCACCACGCGCACTTTTTAACTGACCAATCAATTCCATTCGCCAAAAAAGGCTATTTGCATTTTTTCATGAGGCCACATTCCCCCTTGTAGGGGAAGGAGCTCTCCGGTAATACAAAGCTTCGCAAGCTCGCTTTGATAAGCGAAATTAGATAGTCATGTGATAGCTAGCGTGAATAAGATTTGGTATTTGTGAGTGTGTGTCTTCCAGCAAATACATCCGTGGTGACCATAGCAATATTTTGAAGTAAGCTTAGTATTTTCAGCAAACACTGGCAGTCAAGATTTAAATTCCATCAATCTTAAGTCACGTGGACAACGACTTTTTTTTTTCTTTTTTTTTTCAAAAAAATCCCCCCTATCGATTGGAAGGATATTCTTTCTCAATTTCATATTGCCGTTTCTTCTGATTCAACATGACCCATAAATATATTGATAAGGTGCTACCAGTCACTTTCTTTGTGAACTGAACCTTTAATTTCATATCCCTTTTGTCGTTTTGATAATAAGCTGATCAAGTATCCGTACAAGTTCTCACATTTCTATAGTAGGGCTAATTCATAACTCACCGCCCAGTTCTGCCAGTCTCTACATGGGTGGGCAAAAAGAAAGCGGTGAGTAATTATTTAGCACTGAGATATCGAAAAGTTTCCGAAACGACGCGACAATCTTCACCATTGACCACTGAACACCGGCACAATGGCGAAGACGAAGGATCCTCAAACGAAGAAGCGCAAAGGTATGAAAACTCTTCTTGGTTGGCTGCGCATGTCCTGCCCGTAGCAAAGACTCTTGCTAACAAATTCAAATAGCTTCAGTTCCTGAAGTCGAAGCAGAAAAAGTGAAGAAAGTCAAGAGCGATGTCGCAAAGCCTGCTGAAGCTCCGGCGAAGAAGCGCAAAGGTATATTTTATCTAAATCTCAATCAATTGTCTGTCTAATCATTGCCAATAGCTACCGACGATCCTACTCCAGCTCAATCCAAGAAATCGAAGACGCCCACGCCAATCCTCCAGGGGTCTTCTGAATTGACGCCCGCAGAGCCATCAAAGAAGAACCCCACCACGGTCAAGTCTAAGAATGTCAAGAAAGAGAATACCAAGCAAGATAACGTCAAGCAAGATAAAGTCAAACAAGATAAAGTCAAGCAGGATAAAGTCGAGCAGGATAACATCAAGAATGAGAATGTCAAGAAGGAGAATGTGAAGAAAGATAATGTCAAGAAAGAGTCAAAGAAGGCTGGTGGTTCGGAGCCAGTAAAGAATGCAGCTTCTCACAAACCTTCGAAGGTCACTACCCTCTCTGCAGAGAAGAATCCTCCTTCCAAGGATGCGAAATCCAAGCCCGAAATCGGAGGTGACGCGGATTTGGACTCTGGGCTTGAGGACGAGGACAAGAATATGGACGAAGACTCAGACTCCGAGGTGGACGACCAAACTCTTGCTCTGCTTCAAGGCTTGGAGAGCGATGGTGATGAGGAGGAAGCCACCGGCGAGGGCTATACGACGGGTGACCCGATTCCAGTTCGCGAGAAGCTGAGCAAAAAAGAGGAGAAGAGACTGAAGAAGATCGCTGAGTCAGCCGCCTCCGACAAGCCTGGAGTTGTCTACATTGGTCGGGTCCCCCATGGTTTCTATGAGCACGAGATGAAGGCGTACTTCAAGCAGTTCGGTAATATCTTGAAAATACGTCTGTCACGCAACAAGAAAACGGGGGCTAGCAAGCACTTTGGATTCATTCAGTTCGAGTCCGCAACCGTCGCCGATATTGTCGCCAGAACCATGGACAACTACCTCATGTTCAACCACTTGTTGAAGGTCAAGCTTATTCCAGACGAGCAGGTGAATCCAGATTGGTTCAAGGGGGCAAACAAGCGATTCAAGAAGGTTCCATGGAACAGAATGGCGGGTAGAAAGCTTGAGCAGGGTAAGTCTGAAGAGTCGTGGAACGGGCAAGTTGCGCGGGAGGAAAAGCGACGCAGTGAGAAGGCCGATAAGATGAAGGAAATTGGCTACGAGTTTGATGCTCCGAAGGTCAAGTCTGCTACGGGCGTGGCGAAGCCAAATGCGGTAACACCATTGGAAGCCTGCTGATATCGGGCGATTTGGGACTCTTATGGTTTATAGCTCAAATTTGCTCGGAATTCTAGATCACTTCTTCCTGGTGTTATCTCTCTACGTGTCACAATGAGTGAGTCCGTTCTTAGAGGGCTGGAAATGAGAATAAATCTTTATAGAGATCGTTGGTACTTTCTGGTCAGCTGCAGACATCAGTCACTCTGCCAATGTTAGTACCATCGTTGGATGCAAGTCAAAAGCTCTTCATGGAGCTCTTCCGGGGATTCGATTGGACCCATTCAGCGCCCCCTTCTATGCAAATGTTCAACGTGGGGGCATTGATCTATTTCATCACCGGTCGTCTCTTCAGCAGCATATTCGGTATCTTTCAAGCGTCGCAATACTTCTCTTCTCATCCACGACCGTATCGCATTCATCTTCGAACTCCTTTTTCTTTAAAAGTGGTATACTGTCTCTTGAGCATTCGACCATCAGTCGAGAGTTTATCCCGACAATAGCAAGACTTCGACATCACCTAGGTAAGGTCAAGTCGTGGCTGGAACATACGGTTTGGTATGCAGGTGATAAGACTCACACAAAGCCCTATCACTACAGCTTGGGCATTTTGTACGAACTGTGGACTCTTGCCAGAGCCAAATATCGAGAGTAATGCTATCAGAACGTCAGGATGCACAGCGAAACCTTTGCATTCTACCTTTACCATTCTGAACTTGGTGAAATGTTATATTCGGTACTTCCTTCTCCCCATAGAGATTATCGTACCTCCAGTATGCCAAATTTCTGGTTTTAAATCATCGGTGCTTGGGATCCCTTCTGCCAGGATAGATATCTTTGTTCTTGCATCTAATTGGTTTATAAATGCAAACCTTTCACCAATTTACTATCCGCGGTCTGGCACGATCTAGCGGCTAAAATTAACAGGGAATTCAAGCATCTTATAATCTAAGATTCGATTGGGCCTTTACTCAACGCTCTACGTAGCTAGGTCTTATCGTTTTCGATCCGGGCGCTAACCACTCGTCTATTTGCGAGAGCTGGTTACTGCTGGTATACTGTGGCACAGCTTCAGTCCGACACATTAGCTCTCTTGATAGAGGAGGCCTTTAAGATGAAGGATAAAGAGCTTAAGGCTCAGGTATCTGAGAGCGATTTGAAGAAGTATCAAGCGATGTTGTTGGGAGAAGTAAGCAAACTAGGAAACGACAGTGCTCGCATTTTCTCTAGAAACATCACGAATGAGATTAGGGAAACCAGCTGGTGTTAGGTATATGATAATATGAAGCTTTAATGTGTAGCCGTTTTACCGTTAGGCAGCCTCTTAGTACCGTACCATAGGAACCGCTAGTCCCTCGTCTAGTTAGTACTAGTACTATCCTTATACAGAGCCACAAAGTTGACATCATCACATGCGCAATACAGGTTAGCTTAGCTACGAATGTTTTTTCTGTCCAAAAACAGTTCTGGCTTACACCATACCGGTACTAAGGTTACTAACATTTTTTTTTTCCAAGTCTCACTGCTAATACGTCTGCGTAGGGCTTTCGCACTTGGACTTTGTAAATGCTTGGAAAATCGAGATGGCCGAAAAGCTATAAACAATCATGCTAATGTCAAATTTCACAACGGAAAATTCTGGGGACAGAGAAATGGCAAAATGGGCGAGCAAAGCGAGCTTTTCTTCCAAGCTATATCTTGTCGTAAGAGGCCACACGTACCGAGCTATCAGACTATCGAGCTATCTCCACCGGTACTTGGGACTATATGATTCTAAAAATGGTCTAGAGGTCACCAACTTCAGTGCTAGCATCTAGCGTTATTCGGTCCAGTCGAGAAGGGTGTAACTCATGGCTTAGCAAAAATCCGACTGATTTCTTAAAAAAAAATAAAAAATTTAAAGCACCACCGGCGCCAGAATCTTATAAATTTGCCCTGCCTCTCCAGCTTTCTTCTCCTTATCCTTCTCATTCTTCTTCTTCTTCTTCTTCATATCTAACTTAATAAGTTTACTTCAAAAGCCTACCTTATATTTTTGAGGTTGCCTTTATATCTGGCAATCTTCCAACCAACCAACACATATCCACTGCACCAATACCTCACCACCATAACTTCGAGATATTCCTTCAACTACACCTACAATATCGTCAAATAACGAAAACATGCATATCAGCAGAGAATTACGCCGCTTTGCGGCCCTTATCCTCGTCGGTAGTCAACTAGTGTTGTCTGGAATGTCGAGCAAGTCCTATCCGAACGATCACACCACATCAATGGCCATCAACAACCACTCCACCAACGAACGTAGCTTGATAACTCTCAACACCTCCTCTCTGAAGAGACTCCGGCTCGTGTATATCAAAGGTCGCTCGATTGAAGACATCCGACAAAGTAAATACGTGGCAGTGAAACGCTGGGCGTGGCTCGGTGACGCCGTCCGCTGCTCTCTCTCGTCAACGGGCAACTCATGCTGGGCGGACTTTCCCCAGCCTGATACCCGGGACATTCGAGCAAGATCAGACCAGTCCAGAGCGAAGAATCCTTTCGGGGTCGACTTGGCGTGCGGTATTTTAAGCGGGTATAGGGTCAACAATTGCTTCGACGATGTGGGCAAGAAGTCAGACACCTCCTCCTCAACGTCTTCGGCATCAACATCAAGCCTAAAATCGACCCATGGTACGTCGACCACCAAATCCGCCAAGGGAAGAAAGACCAAGGGTCGTGAGAGGGCCAGCAGCATGCGAACATCCACCGGCCAAGCCACCGCAACATCGTCGCCTACACCGCAAAGCACGGCCGGAGCAACGGCTCTCAAAAAGAGAGGCTGGATCAAGAAGTTCTTTAAGGAGATAAACTGCATTGTAACAGCTGACCGAACATCCCGATGTCAGAAGAAGAAGAAGGAGAATTCGAAGCAGCATAGAAAGCCCAAGCAGCCAGATATCACGACACCACATGAATCACCACCGCCTACAGCACCGGCACCGGCATCGAAACCGACAACCAACGACCCAGCCACGACGACGGGCCTCCAGCACCTCAGCACTGCTACCACCACCACGGCGAATACCAGCAACGCTCCTTCTCCTCAGAGTGCTGCCATCCCCATCCCCATCCCCATCACCATCTCGTCCCCATGCCCGCCGGACTCCGCGGCGGCCACAGAACAACTCCCACAATCCAGCCGCCTGCAAACGAGGGACTGGATCAAGACCTTATTCACAAAGATGAACTGCATGGTAACAACCAACCGCGTATCTCCATGTCTGAAGAAGCCCAAGCAGCCCGCCGCCGCCGCGCCAGCAGCACCGTCGAGCACTACAGAGGACTATAGTACGGTGACGACCTTCCAGCAGTTCAAACCCGCTGCACCGACGACGCCGAAACCGAAGCAAAAGGCAAAGGCGAAAGCGAAAGCGAAAGCGAAAGCGAGCAAGCCGACTGCGACGTCCGCGACTGCAGCTGTATGCACGCCTGCGCCGACCGCCGCTTCGATCTAGACTGCAGAGGAATGTTCGACGCGGGTAGATGTACAGATGGAGATATGTCGAGAAAAAAAAATCGAGTAGAGGATTTAGAGTTGGGATTTCAAGGAGAGGATAGAGGAAAAAAGAAGAAGAATAAAAAGGAAGAAGAAAAAAAATAGGAAAATGTTTGAAATTTCAGGAAGATCTTGTGTTCCCCGGCTGCCCGGCCGGCTTTCACGCGTGATTCGCGAGCTCGTGCCATGGCCATGGCCTCGCTAACAGAAAGGGATGAAAGTCAATAATAATAATAAAAAAGACTTGCGCTGTGAGATATTATTGGTTTTTTTTTTCTTTTTTTTTCCAAAAAAATAAAATAAAAAATGATCAAACCCAGGGAACAAGTTTAAAGGAAAGGGGATTGGAGAGATGAAGGTATTATTCAATGATCGTATGATTCCAGATATATACACCAATAGTCAATCCAAACAAACGCTCATGACCCAACCCACCCCTCAACGCCATGCCAATGCTCTAGTTCTAGTTCTAGCCAGATCTCCCGTCGAGACTTTTGTACTGTCCAACTCCAATCACCTATCATATACAAAAAAGGATGCTTCGAACATGGCAGAGCCCTCTCTATTCCAGAGCCTCGATTATAGCATCAACCAGCTGACACCCACCACGCAAACCGCAGCCAGCCACGCCGTGCGTCCCACCAACTCGCTGATACCCATCGCAGCACTGATCGCGACTCCACAGCACTCCCTATTGTACGTGACGTTGTTGAACATGGCCGCGACCTCAAACACGCTACCGTTCTTTCCGTCGTCGCCGAAGCTCCCGACGTTGTAATAATCAACGTTCAGGAACTTGGGCGGGTAGTTCCACTTCTCGACACATCCCTGGGTGCTAGTCCCCAGCGCGCCCGTTCCGCTGACGCCGTTCGTCACGTTCAGCAACGGGATCTGCGGGACCAGGATACTGGTGCCCAGCAGATTGATGTCGTAGTTCAGGTTGTGGTTGAACAGGTACAGCCGGTTCTTGGCGTCGGCCTCGTTGAGGTCCGGGGGTCGGTCGGCGGTGCAAGGGAAGTTGCGGTCCGTCGGATCGAAAGGCGTCTCGAACATCTGGGAGAACTGATCCAAGATGTATGGCACGGCAGTCTGGTTGGCCTCGTAATCCATGAAGATGACGACGCGCTTGCCGCCTAAGATCATGGATGCGAGGGTCGGCCAGTCGTCGATACCCATGGGGATCTTGGCAGGCACGTATGCTAAGTCCTGGAGCCCGGTTTGCTCGACGAAGGGCTGGTAGGTGGTTACGGCGTTGTAGGCGCCGTTTCCCAAGAGCAGTGTCACGACATCGTAGGGATGCGAAGAGACCCAGTCGTAGACTTTGCCTAGGTACTCTGTGATGGGACCGGCGTCGAGGACTTCGCAGGAGCTGTGGCAGAAATGGGGAGTCGAGTTGACGAAATGCATTTGTCCTTGGAGCAGGCGGATTCCATCGTTCAGTTGCGTAGTTACGTCCAAGGCCTGGTTGGAAGCTGCGTTCCCGGGCTTCATGAACGGGGAGTTGTGGGCCGAGACTTCGGTGATGTTGCCGTACTTTCGGGAGCAGAATTCCGGGTAGTTGTTGCAGGGCGTGGTGTTCGTAGCTGTGGGTACGCCGGCGGTCGAGCTGGCGGTTCCGTTCATGGTACCGTTTGCAGTAACCGTGGAGGGTGGTCTTCCCGTAAGGAAAGTTTGGGAATTTTCTGTTGACGTCGATTTACTGCCGGGTTCTGTGCCATTGCTCACGACTATGCTCGTTCCAATCCCAAAGAGCGTTGTTGATCCCAAAGTTGTGGTCCGGGTGGAAGAGCCGCTCGTTATCGTTGATACAATAGCAGATGTGGTGATAGCGGATATCGAGGTCGAAGAGAGGGTTATGGTCGAAGGGTATGAAAGGTATTCTCCCGTGGGAGATGGAGATTGCTGTCCAGATGCCCCAGTCAAGAGGATGATAGCCGACGGGTCTTGAGAAGTTACAACGGCGAAGAGACAGCCATAGGGGAGAAGGAGGCGTGAAAGAAACATAATGATTCTTGAGTCTAGATCTTCCGGCTGCAGCGCAAGGTTACTGACATGTATGTATGGAGCTGCCCATGCAGTAACAGCTAGCTAGGTAGCTACACTTCCTGTACTGTAGGATCCACGTCAAGTTGACAAAGACTGGCCGGCCGATGTCCGGATACAAAGCAGATGGGAATCGGAAATATCTGAGCTTCCTCGACATCGTCTCAAAAATCGGATGCTGGATCGATATTTGCACATATGACGTCGTCTCGAGGCTTTCTTAGGACGGAAAAGAATCGCGTAGCGGGATGGGATGGAAGAGGTCCGAGGTCTCAGGTCTCAGGTCTAAGGTCCGAGGTGCAGATCTTCTTCGGGGCACATACCAATAGCGAAAACAAAGGATGGTTGTGTTTGTTTAAGAGAAAGACATGAAAGCAGCGTTTATCTTTAGTGAATTCCAAGGTTCATCCATCCCCAGTTCATCGTCCACCGGAAGCTTGACATGTCTTGTCACGTCCAAGCCCTAGGTTACCGCTGCATGGTAAGGCTTGGACCAGTACCAGCACCTCAAAGCGTTCGCCACTGTGGATGATACGAAAAGACAGCTTTTCAATAGAAGGGATGAATGCACACACAGTAACAGACGATAGATAAACCTATAAATCGATATATACAAATATATATTCAAATCAGCCAAGTGCCCATGCCCATGCCCATACCCATACCCATACCCGTACCCGTGTGCTCGGCTCGGCTCGGCTGCGAAACCCGGAAATGCCCCATGCACCTCGTCATCATATCGTCCTGCTGCTGGCCTGGAACATAGCGGCTCTTTCTTGGTCTTTAAATTGGTTTCTGCCTTAGTCATTTTTGGACATTGATCTTGATATCGATATTCATCTATACTCAAATCCCTTCTCCCTTCTCCCTTCTCCCTTCTCCTTTCTCCCTTCTCTCTTCTCCCACCCCCGTCATCTCTACAGACATGAATTAGATAGAAATCTAAAAAAAAGTCGATTACTCAGCTATGTCTTCGACTCTCGCTGCGAGAAGGAAGCAGCCGAAAGAAAACGACGGAGTCCTAGAACCTGAGCAAGATTCAGAGCGGACCATCACCCCGACATACCGCCCAGGGGTCAATATCAAGGAAGCTACTAAGACGCGGAAGACATTCATCATAGTAACATCCGTCTTGTACGCCATTTCGGTCATCTTTTTGATTCTGGTGCGTCTGAATGGCAAAATCGCTTGTTCTGCGATCCAGCTAGCCTAACCATTCCCATATATAGGTACTCATCGGCAACATCAATAACAAGCCCGTGATTCGCAGCACGTACTTCTACAAGCTCGACCTGACGAACATCATCCCCTCTTCAGCCGAAAACATCGTCCTCGTCAATTCTCTCGCCCGCTCCCTCGGCCTCCACGATTTCTACCAGGTTGGCCTTTGGAACTTCTGCGAAGGCTACAACGATGAAGGAATCACATACTGCCACCCGAGAGAGAGCCTCTACTGGTTCAACCCGGTCGAGGTCCTGCTCAACGAGCTGTTTTCCGGCGCGACGATCGCCATCCCGGTACAGCTCGTCAACATCCTCCAGCTGATCCGCATCGCGTCGCGCATCATGTTCGGCTTCTTCCTCGCCGGGACCTGCATGAACGTCGTGTCCACGGGCCTCGTCTTCGCCGCCCTGCGGTCCCGCTGGTGGTCCCTCGTCCTCACCATCTGGACCCTCGTGGCGGGTATCATGATCCTGGCGGCCAGCGTCATCGGGACAGCCATGGCCCTGATCTTCCGGAGGGTAGCCACTTCCCAGAACGAGCTCAACATCGGCGCCGCCTATGGCGAGGTCATGTTTGCCTTCATATGGATCGCGACCGGATGCTCCGTGATTGCCTTCCTCCTCCACGCGGGCATGATGTGCTGCTGTGCTAGCAGGAGGGACGTGGAGACCGGTCGGAGGATGGGCAGGAAGAGCGCTTATGGCAATGTGGGCATGGATGAGAGAAAGAGACCCTTGCGCCTGAGGCAATGGGCGAAGCTGCCCAAGTGGGGACGGAGGAAGGCTGAGGCCGACATCTTATAGGCAGGTAGGTCGGCGATTGGTGTAGCGAGATTGGTGTAACATTTTTCGGAGGTCGAGAAAGTGAAAGAAGGTGGTATGTACATGGACATAAATTCCGGTTTGAGCTCAGGCGTTGGGAAAGCTTAGAAGGCAGTGGGTGCATTTGAGCGTTGGAGTTTACTCAGCATTTGTCGATATCACGAATACATCTATCTGTAGATATACCTGGAAAAACACTACATTCATACAATTTTAATAGTGTCATCTCGTCTCTGACTTCGCGCTAAACTACACTAGTAGTAACAACCCCACCCCCCTTTTTTGTAAGCGAGAAACCGTAAATAACGTTTGAAGGGGGTTCCCTGTATCTACCGGTACTTACGACCACGAGGCCAGGGCCCAGGACTGCATGCAGGTATCACTGCCAAGTAAGACTGACGTTTTCACGTTTTGAGGCTTAAAAGTTTAAGAAAAGCTAATTACTGAGAGGCGACCCAGCTCTGCAGAATGAACCTTGAGAGCAGTTTGGACATTAACAGACCCAGAGAACCGAGATTTCCCTTTACCCGCCATGGAGATTGAAAAAAGAGGGGAAAAAAAGGAGAAAAAAAAAAACTTTGAACCAACACGAGCACACAAATATTGGTAGAATAAACAACGTCCATTAAAAGGCCTGTAAGGTATATGCATCTTCTCCCTTCAACCGCTCGCTCCACAACATCGCCGCTCGGCGTATTGTAGCCACGTAGGGGCGCGTAGGAAGAAATTCATAGGACTTCGTTTAATCATCAGAAAGCCTCCCTCAGCTTTTCTCCTGTCTCTCCAGACCCCCCTCCCTCATCATGACTGCCGTATCCTAGCAATCCTTAACGCTCGCTTCGATCTGCCATCGATTCCACACCATCGTTTCTATATTTCTCAAATACACACAGAGAAGCGCAATATTTTCCTGCTTGTAGTCGCAAAGTACCCACCCATCCAGTAACACCCAGAAGTGGAGAAGAAACAAAGACAAAGGCGATCCATGTCATCAGATATCATTCCGAAATGTATTGATCAGAAGGTTTCGGACTCGCCGCTTTCTTTACTCACTATCATACCAAACGTGTCTAAAAAAGGTCAATTGAAACTCAAGTGTGAAACGCGATATTGGATTGTTTACCTCTCTTCGCGTTTCTTCGAATCACAGTTTCGTCTCTGTTGAGATCGCCTCCGCTCCTAGGAGATGTGCTCATGGTTCGCGGGCCAGTAGGCTTTCTGGGAGGAACGCCTGTGGGCATCAACCTTGAAGCAGATCGTGGTGAGCTACTTGGCTCGTAGGCGTCCATTGGAAGATGCTCCTTGCTTAACGGGCTCGGCTTTTGAAACTTGCTTATCCGAACATGTGAAGATCCTTCAGGAGTCAGCGGTTCTTTGGGTGGGCGTTGAGGAGGTTGATTAGACGCAGAACCGTGTGAATATCCCCCATCAGATACTGGGGAGATTCGGCCGGTGTGATCGTCGTTGTAGCGATTGGTCTGTTGAGGTGGAAGTCGGTTCAGACTGGTCTGGGAACCCCAATCGAGTGATCTAGGAGATAGGGGTGAGTCAAAGTTCTGGGCCTGCGACTCAAGAGCGGTTTGGTATCGGTGGGTCGGGCCAACTCGTGGCTGAGGATGCTGCAAGTTGAGCGAGTTTCTATGAGCTTTGTATTTGGGGTCCTCAGGGGGAAGGAGTGACATAGGCTCTTGCTGCTGATTTCCGTACTGCTGTTGGTTGATTTGTTCCTGTGACTTTCCCAAAGGAAGTTTGTCGTCGCCATAAGGATCATGCTCTGCGTAGTTGCCGAGGTCAGATCCAGACCTCGATGGTCGCTCTGGATACTGCTCTTGCTCTTCTACTTTAGGTCCACTACTTCGTCCACTGTTTCGGAAGCCGCGCAGAACCGTAGAAGCTGTTGTGTTGGACCAACGAGATACCTTGGGAATCCAGCCAGAAGAGCTGCTGGACTTATGCTTCTTACTCTTTTCTGTTCTTGGAGTGTTCTCATTACTCAAAGAAGGCTTCTCGGCGTATTGCTGGGGAGGCGTTTCTAGAGGAACTGAGCCGCCCCGAGTGACTTCTCGAGTTGGGCTAAGCAACTGTTCGTTGTTTTCGAATCGGTTGTCCGGAACGGCTTGCTCATGAGGGTCCATATCTTCCTCGTCGCCTTCAGGGACTGTGCTGATACGATGGTCTGAGAATTTCCTGTTGTCAAACATCTTGTTGGCACTGGCCCGGCGTGAAATAGGAATCGAAAAGTGACCGGAGCGGCTGGCGTGGCTCGCAGTGGAGGTGCCAGCATTACCTTCGGGTTCGTATCCCCGATCATCATAATTGTCTTCTGGGCCGAGGTCGTCGTAAGATTCGCCAGGGTGGCTGTCGACCTTGAGGCCCTGAGCGACTTTAAGCCCCTCGACTTCGCCCAGTAACTGAACAAGCATCTCCTCGATTTTCCCAAGATCATTCGAGCTCTTCATGCTCAATCCCTTCAAAGCTCTCCTGAACACGTTCCGCTTTTTGTTCGGAATATCATCGAACATATTCTCGTCCTGGGATTCTCGTCGGAGCGACCGTGGTCCGCTCTGTGGCTGCGGTCTAGGGCCATTGATGATCTTTTGAACCGATTTGTCCGTGTTGCTTTGGACCTCGGTGATGATAACATCTTCGGAATCAGCAAGCAGGCGCTTCATGTCCTCAAACGAGTTTCTCATTTCCGCAGCGGCTCGGACGAGTGTTACCAGGATTTCTGTATCCCGAGCGCTCCGTTGGGCGTCACGAACAGTGAGATGGTCCATCAAAGCAACAATGTCTTTTGACTGAATACGATCGATGCCATTTCCCGTGGCACTGTCATACATTGGCGATCCCATGCCATGAGACATGCCGCTGAGGTGCCGGGCATGCTTCCTGGTGTAGAATGGATCCTCGCCAGCCATGTCACGAGCACCTGCAAGATCTTGGTCGAGAAAGTTGACACCCTTTGCTCTTTGCTCGGGCGTAGCTTCACCTGGAGACCGAGCATTGGGAGCAGATGAGATGTAGCCCTCGTCTTTTGGAGATGCTCTGGCACTTTGGTAGTCCAGCTTCGTAGGGACAAAATTGCCGCCAAGCCCCTGCAGCCCTCCTGCCTGGCTAAGAAGGTCGCGGTCAAGATCATTTCCGATGACTGCAATCGGACTCGTACCTTCATACGGGTTGGTGATGACTGTATCACGCTTTCGTTCTCCAGAAGTTCGCTGCCACTCCTCGTCGTGGTCCCTGCTGGCCTCTCGGTTGTGGCCTGCAAGAGCAGCGGCTCCTCCTGCACCCACAGCTGCACCGATGAGAGCGGCTTCAGCAGATTTAAGGTTGGCATCGGAGTCGCGGCTATGGTTTGATGCAGTTTCAAAGTGTGCTTGAGGGGGTGTAGGCTTCCCAGGCCAGTGATCTCTGTTTGTCTCCGCAACTCCCCCAATTGGTCCTTGGATGATAGACGGGTTGGTATCGACCTCTGATTCTCCATCTCCGTATCCAATCTCGGGCATCGGATTATGCACATCAGGGAGACCACTAGTACCTAGCTTGAGTTGATCGTGGCTTGCAGCTTCGCTGAGGGGTGCATCAATGCTGTGGCGGGGAGATGGGATATGCCCTTGGCCATCCATGGTACGTTGCTTGAACGACATGTGCAGGGGTGCTCCCGTATGCTCGAGTCTGTCTTCAAATCTGATCTGGTCGGCGGTGGACTTTTTGCTGCGCCCAGCCATGACTACAGCGGCTACACCCGCAGCAATAGCTTTCTCTGCCTTGTGGGTTTTGTACTTTGGCATTGCGATCTTGTGGCCCGACTCGTCAACATCGTACTCTTCAGCCCATTTTGAGGGGCTGTTGCGTTGACTCGAAGTACCTCTGTCGGATTCGTCGTACTCGAGATGTGTTGTGGCGTCAGCTTTGGTTGGGCTGTTCCCTCGACTGGTGAAGAGCCTCTCGGAACCTTCTTCGTAAGAAGCATATGATGCTCTTCGGTCGTACCGGCCATTGTTGCCAGAGAACCCGGATTCGCCAGTGAGTTCGGATGGGTTGACTAACGAAGCAACTGCAGATTCCACAGAAACAGGCATGTGAACATAATCTGGGCTTGCTCCGATGCCGCGGACACTCTGACCGGTGGAGCCACGATCCAACCTCGATGCATACATGCTGTTATCAGTCGAGGTGGTCATACGCTTAGAGTCCACGTGATGATCAGAACTGCGATAGCTGGAGGGCGAGCCAACATCTCGGACCCGATCGTTTTCACGGTGTTGCTCCTCCCAGTACTCACCATCCTGAGTGAGCTCAGAATCAGTGAGTCCCCCTTGTCTGACTTCTGCAAAGTCGTGGCGATTTCTATGAGCGCTGCCCAGCGAGTCAAGAGACTTGATAGACATGCCGGATTGACGGTGTTGAGGCGACTTGCCCAGTGAGGAATATGAGCCCGAGCTGTGGGTCAATCTTGAATCTCGTTGATTTAGATCAGGGTCGCCTTCTGTGTAGCCGGAAACACTCTGTATGGGGCTCAGTCCACGACGCTCTTGTGCATAAGGGACGTATCGTAGAGGCGGGGGGACTTCTTGGGTATTCTGGTAGTAGCTATAGTGATCATTCTCTAAAAGCTCTGAATCCTCATGATCATCGTTGTCATTTTGATGATGCATAGTAGCTGCTCCAAATGCACTAGCGCCAGCAGCGCCAGTCAGGCCAGCCGCCGCTGTGGGAGACCCACCATTGTAATCTTCGTCGACGACAGAATCATCGCGGTCCGAATACTCCATGGGGACCTTTCGTCCATGTTCATCAAGGTCAAATTCTTCTTCGTGGAGATGCTGTTGGCTGGGCTGGCTGTGGAGACTGAGATTTCCCCGAGAGAAGTTTGAATGCTGCATCCCCAGACCCTTTGAAAGAGCAACTGGGGTTCTCGTAGGCGTGCTCAATGTTGGTGATACCACGCCCCGAGAAACTTGACGGATTTGGGTAACCCTCTCCTGGCTTGCCGAATGGGGCCTCTCCGTTTCCGCTGACAAGATGGAAGTCCTGGTGATGTCTGAAGGATTAATGTCGCTCATCAATGGCATTGGCGGCATGGGCTCGTTATTTTGCTCCTCATAGATTTCCGTCAAGCTGTCGCTCCTGCTACGACTTTTAGTTCTCCTCCTGCGACGTTCCCTCCGCTCGTCCTCGAGTGACTCCTCTGACTGGTGCTTGTGCAAAGCTGCTATCGTCAACGCACCAAGACCAGCTCCAGCGGCTGCCGATTTCAGGCCTCGGTGCCCATCGCTGCTGCCCTTCTTGTGCACTTTCTCGCCATTCCGGATGACTGTCTCTTCTGAGGTCTCGCGCTCAAAGCTACCTGAAGAATCCTCTTCCGCCTTGAGGCGGTCAATATTTCTGACCTTGCGACCTTTGAGAGTATTTCCAGAAAGAACCTCATTGTCATTCAGAATGACTTTTGGCCTAGCAGAGAGATCTGTGTTACTACCGCGGTCCGACAGTCGTCTGTTGCTTGAGGTCTCGTCTCTAGAATCTCGGGAGATCCCACTACCTGAAGTGATGGACCCACGGCGGTCCCTATCTCGGTCACGACTTTGGTGCTTGCTCTGCTCCCTCTTCAGTGCAGTCAGTTCAGGCAGGATCAATCGCCGGATGGCATCCTCCACGGTTTCTAAGAGTTTTGGGTTGTTGATCGATGATTTTGAGGTTCCGGAGCGGAAAGAGTATGCATCACCGGATTTTCCACTTAAGTGTGAGTTCAGCAAACTTGAATCTGCGCCAGAGACCATGCTTTCTTCATGATGGGATCGGCTTGACCTTCTGCGGGGCGACTTGACATTTTCTGTTGATTGTTCTCCGCTCACACTACGGCTTCTGCTACTGTGCTTGCGCCGCCGTTCTGTCTTGTCGCTCCGAACCTTCTCAGCAGCCTTCTGAGCTACAATGCGTTCTCGGCTAAGACTTCGACTCCGTCGGCGAGATGGCGTCCCCAGTTTATCAGCTACAGTGCTCGTGACCAAGCCAGCTCCAGCGCCTGCGGCCAATTGCGATTTGCCATCGAGGAAGCTGTCGGTGGGCATGGACGAAATTTCGGATGCATTGACTGGCGCATATTTGGAGCTGCTCTCAGCAGTGGGAATCAGAGGACTTCCATGTCGTCTGGGCATTATCTCCACCTCAATCGGACCACCTCCTTGAGATGTGACGTTTGACTCTTCGGTAGCTGATCGGTATGAGTGTAAGCTGCTATTGTCGTCACCATCACCTTCGACTATCGATTTTTCGCTCCTGGCGTTCGGCGACAGATGGATCCGTTTGGTGTAGGAGGGTTTGCGGTTACTTCCTCGTTCGGTGATTTGGATGTGGTCATTAGAAGAACGACGCTTACTCTTAGATGATGGTGTAACTTTAACTCGTACAGAAGGCCGTCGAGAATCAGCTTGACTACCTTTTCCTCCTTCGAAGTATTCGATTAGCAGAGACGTCTGCGACTTGTTGTTGCTGAGGCCGTGGCTGTCCTTGTCGCCCTTCTTGCGCCGTGTAGCTATCGTGACAGGGCTTCCGTCCTCTGGCAAGGTAAACTGGCTCTTCTCGGTGATCCTCGACCCAAGCTCAGTGCCGCCAGTTGTGCTATCAGTCTCTGTAGGCGCAGGTAACGGCGGGCCTTTTCGATCGGCACCCATTCTGGCAGCTCAACAGGTCAGCCGGGTCGTTTGGAGGAATGCATGAGAGATGATAAAGATGGTCGGCTGGTGGAGATGCGGTGCTACTCTATGATGTTTTGGGGAGAGGCTGGGTGGTTTTCTGAGATGGGGGAGGGGGAGGGGGGGCTTTCGCAAGAAGCCGAGTCGCTGTGTGAAATTCGTTCGCCGGGCTGAAGCAAGGCAGAAGCCTGGGAAGCTGGTCTGAGGCGGGAGGGGAAAAGAAAGCAATACAGCTCCGGACGTTTATGACTGGCGGGCGGGAACCAAATGCACTGCGACCCAATGGCGACGAGGTTGACGAGGTTGACGAGGTCAATCGTTGGTCAAGGTAGGTAAGTGGGTGAGGCAGAGGTAGGCTGGGGAACAGGAGCGATGACTGCCAACGCACGAGGCACTCTGCAAGGCTTGTCCAATCGAACGCGGCAAAATGGCGAAAGCAAACGCTTTATGACCGATGTAGGTCTCTGTCAAATTATTTTGAATCTCCATATAAGAACCATCTATGGCTGATGCTACGAGCCATTATTTTGTGGCCGGGTTTTACTATCATACCCGCCCCCTCTGTCAACAAATAGCCTCCAAGAGTCCCCCATTCACGGATTGACGTGTGCTTCACTGCAGCACTACTACCTACCGGTACTGTGACTGTGCTCCTGGCCTGCAGCGCGCCCAACTTGCCCATTCGAGGAGAGGACTCGATTGCCAGCCACATTGCCTTTCTTTCATTCTTGGGATTTGAAGCGGTCCTTTTGCCATTGGAACTGTCTCCGATTGCCCTCACTCTTTTTCCGTTTGTATTTGTTTAGTTTTTTTTGTTTTGTTTTGTTTTGTTTTACCGCGGCTCGTCTCGAGGTTTTCGCCGGGCTATCGCTGATGGGCCTACCGGGTAGTAGCAGGGAAAACCCATTCTGGGTGATGCCCCAAGCGTCCTGTCGCCCCAGTTGGAGGTGCGTTGCTATGGGAATGTTTTGTTTTGAGGGTCGTGCTGTGATGTTTTTTTTATTGTTGTACCATGGAGTGGGCTTTTAATTTCGGGATACCGGTACACCCTAGTGTACGCGAGCACTTTACATTCGATAGTGGTGAGACAGACAGATACCGTGAGTGGAAGATTGTTGAGGTTGGAAGAGGGAGAGAGGGATCGCTGCGTCATGAGATCTGCGAGATGTGCAGGAAACTGTTCGAGGCTCAAGAACCAGGAGATTGGGTGCAGGGTAGCCTGGCTCCGAATGATTCCATCACTACTCATCCGGGCATATAAGCTGATGGAGTATGATAAAAGATACATGTACATGTACACACTTTGTTCGGTGGAGATCCAACGAGTGTCGACAACCAGTGTAACGAGCAGCAACATAGTATCGTGTGCAGTCAAGCTTCGAGCGAAGTAATAAGCACTTTTCGTATTATATCATTTACATACTTTTTTAGGCTACAGATCCAACTAGTATCGACAACGAGTGTAAAGAGCAGCTACATAGTATCGTGTGCAGTCAAGCTTCGGGCGAAGAAAGTAACAACCGCTTTTCATATTATATCAAAAACGAATCACAAACTTCCGACTCGTCTTTCGTACTAGAATACCATCGGGTATTGACCCTCGGCTGCAGGTCGCACCCACAAATCGTGATTGCAAACATCTTGATTGCACTGGAGGTATCATCGTGAGCAGTTGTCTGTTGCCTGTGTATCTACCAACTACGAAGTGAAAAATGCCAAAAACCAGTCCTCCCGCCCACCGTACCAGGGTATTTCATATCCTCCAACGATTTGATTGAATGCGTGCCCAATTTTGAATGCCTGACTCCCAAATCCCAACGCCAAGATATTCTACTCTACCGTATCTCATCCACCACTATACAATCTTTTAATTATTGGCAATCATAATGGGTAGGAAGCTAAACACAACGTCGTTGTTGGTGTAGTGAACGACGAAACCAGCGCCCAAAACCCTTTTGAGTGCTTGTAATCTATGAAGCTTCCACCATTTGTCGATCTGCATGGATCCAGTCTTGTGAATGCGCACAACCATCCTCGAGCCATATCTACGATTGGTCTCTTGATCGATCGCGTTCGAGTAGCAGGGACCCTGAGAAGGATGCTCAACCGTGTTCAGTATGTCGGAAAAATTCGCATGAAGCATTTTTCGGTCTTGTTTCGAGATTCGCTTGGAACTTTCTCTGGCGAGCGTAGAGAGCTTGTGCTCTAGCTGATTCTTTTGACGGTAGACGTCATACCGCTTGACGAAGCTAGTGTCGATGGCAAAACCCTGGTCGTCTTCTTCTTCGCTTGCTGGGTCGTCGCCGGCTTCGCGTTCAGTGTAGCTCTTTTCGAATATAAGGGCTATGTTCTCTCCGGCAGCGACCTGCACAGTGGCACTGCTACTGTCTAACTGCTCAACAAATGCTTCCATCGCAGCCTCGGTCTTCTCTTCAATGTCGTCTAAGGAGGTTGCCAGAAACCCCCAGGCTTCGCAGGCAGCCGTCACAACTTCGGCGCTGTCCTCTGCTTCGATCGAGGTCCCATCTGACTCTATGACCTCAAGTAGGTCATCCATGATTTCTTCGATTTCGGAATCGCCGGCGCCGCCGAAGATGGCTGCTGCGCTGAGAGCGTGGATCGCGACTGCCTTTACAGTATGCGACTCAGAGTCAGTGTACGTATTCTTCAGGGCCTTGAAAACGGAATCGTAGACATTTTCTGAAGGGACTGTAATGAGCGAAAGAGCGATAGCTAGGGGTTCTCGTTAGCTAATGCTGAGTTTTGTCAGCCGAGGATTGGGCAAACCTCTCAAGGCAAGACAGGTCTCTTTCTCACTGCTACCCGCCTTGATGCTTTTTAGCAAAGCTGGGAATAGTTCTGATGTTCTGCTATTTATTTGATCGTAGGCGAAGTGGCTCATGATGATGTGAATATATTGTGCAAGTGTAGCCTCCCGGCCTTGAACACTGCTTCGTTTCCTGTCGATAATCTCCTCCATACGATCACCAAGATCCTGTTTCCAGATTTCGGGAACATCATCGGGCGCATCTGGGGAAATCATATCTTCGATCGAGTTGGTGCTGGGAAGTCCTGTAAGCGTGCACTTGTGTAGCTTTCTGGTCCAACTCACCTCCAGTTTGTGCTATCGCTCATATTTCCCTCTTCTTCGTCAGAGGCTTGCCGGGAAACATTTCTTGAATTTGAGCGGGAGTTTGCCACCGAAGATGCGCGGGATGACATGCGCGACTGGGCCTTTTTTGAGACCGTCTTGCCGCTCTCAAGAGCCTGGCGCCTGAGGTCGTGCATACCGAGGAGCTCGTAGAAGGCGTTAGATCAGGAGGGTATGAAGGTTGGGTAGGTATTGTAATTTGGGAGAGCGACTGAATGCGGGGTATGGTTTTGCGAAAGATGAGAAATTTCCAAGGCTCGACACTCGGCTCTAGTTTTCACCGAAACGAAGCAGCGAGATATGTCGGGCGAGGAGGGTGTGAGTCCTCCATTTATAGTTGATGTGTGTGACTCACGCAGAAAAGCTGCATTTAAGAATGAATTGTTTTTCTGGACGGTGACGATGATTAGTCCACGGTTGGGAAAATGGAAGGCAACCGGCTTGTAACAGGTACCGGTAGTGGCAACCTAGTCCGAGGTACTGTAGGAGGGGTACCGGTACTTGGACGAGATACTACTTACTACCGGTATACGTACCCCATCAACTGCTCAGCAAGTACCGGCAAAGTATATGAGGTGGTGGTAACAATAACATGGAGAAACCCACCGATTTTGCATTCACCCTAAATCCAGATCTTTAGGTAGATGACTTTCTGTACCTCGTATCTCAGGTCTTTGCGTCTTCGAGAACGAAGAGGGCATTCATTCATTCATTCATTCACTTTGTACTCGTATTGAATACTCGGTAGTACCGTTATCTAATCGCCTTATCGCTAGCGTAGCCCCACACTCCCCTCCGCATCATCCATTCCACCCCCCCCCCTTACACTCCTAACCTTCTCCTCTACTTCGCTCACACAACCCCCCAAGTCCTTTCATTTCTCCCACCAACTTGAACCTCGCCGATATTTTTGCCTCGACACTCGCTTTGAAGCCGAGTCTCGACTCCATTCCATTCCCACGTCCGCTTGAGGCGTCGACGCGATCTAGCTCGTGGGTCCTTGTCTCATCTTCGCTGGCCCGTCTTGTCTCGTACACCTCGACAGACGACCCCCACTCACCACCAGTTCCGATAGATACACCCCACCTCTGCTTCTACCTTGACTTCGACAGCTACAGCCTGTTCTGTCTACGTTCATATAGGAGATCTGGCAGATACCAGCAAAGTCAAGATGGAGACTCAAGGTACGTCAAATATCCAGTTCACCGGAGCAAGGCTCCGCACTGCCGGACATGAAGTCCAACCCTCTGAGACTGAAGCCTGGAGTCGAAGACCTCGAGCTCAGTGGAGGCCTTGAAAAGAGATATACATCGAGATCTTGGATCAGCCAACTACTATATCCTACGGATTTTGTGTTCAGCTGGTCTCTTCTCGTACTCCATGACTGACTCCAACGCAGTGATAGTTTCCCTGGTAGACTTGAATGGCGATCGCTCGATCCCTAATCGTACTATTACCTTGAACCACAAGAACAACTCGGTCCCAATCGGTAGAGCTTCGAAAACCGTAAACAAGGGCATACTTGCTGCTGCCGATAATGCGTGGTTTGATAGCCCAGTCGTGTCCCGTAACCACGCAAAATTAAAGCTGGACTTCGATAGCAAGGTATACAGGAACCTTCAGTGGCTTGTCCTTTGCTAATCTGTAGCAGAAGCTCACCATCGAAGACATCGGCTCTATGCATGGGACCTTTCTGAACCACAAGCAGCTCCTAAGTGACGACCCAACAGTCATCAATAATGGCGATGATCTTGTCTTTGGTACTGAAGTCAAACGTGGTCCAGAGACCTTCTCAGCTTGTAGTTTCCGAGTGTATTACATTACTGCACCTTACAAGTAAGTTCTTAGGACAAACTAACCAAGTTGGACTGCTGCTGATAGCGATCCAGGGCACCAAATACCTTTACATTCCCCGACTCTTCAGACCTTGAAGACGAAGTCGAGGAAGTCGAGGGTTCTCGTGATCAATCCAAGGAAGAAGATACTGAGATGCAAGCGCGGGAGCGCCAATACAGCAGTGAAGATGGGGTCTCGATCAAAACACCTCCCCCCACGTGCTCCCAGCTTAGCGCCACCATTGACCTCACTTCTGATGACCATCCCCAGTGTGGTCTTTCCAACAGCATAGATCTAACCGGGGAGATGGAACCAGTAAAGAACATGCCGTTTTCCACGCTTGCTCGCTCGACGGCTGCTCGCTCCACTGATATTAACGAAAATGCGAATGAGATAAGAATGTATGCTGGGAGCCCATCGATCAAATGCGGTTCCAGCGACGAGAGTGCCGGATCTTCTTCTGACTATCAGTTCGAAGAAAATAAGTCAAGAGCTTCCGACCTAGAAACTGGCATGCAAGCTGTCTTCAAGGATGATACCGACGATGTTGATGATTCTGAGAACGGAGCTTCGATCGACGGTTCCGACGTAGAGAGCGAGACCGGGTCAATCGAGGAATCGATGCCGGGTATCGCTTCGCCTGCACCAACCTCAATCAACAATCTCGTCCGGTATGTCGTCGCAACCGATAATGATGCAATTACCCACTTGTCGGACGTCCGCACCCGCGTTGATGAGCTGCCAGTCCATGACGATGATGATGAGGATGAGGATGCAAGCGAGTTTGGGTTGAGTGAGACCAGCGGAGAAATCATGAGAGCTCTCTGCGACGAGAATCCTCCCAGCGCTAGCCAGGATTCTCCTGGTAGGGAAGTCGAAGACGATGGTGATGATGAGAGTGAATTTGACCCGCCTTCGCCCCGCAAAGTATTTCCTACGACATTTGCGATAGAGCCCGCTGAAATCCCCCTTCCTTCAACAATCCAACCAAGCAAGATTGAGACCAAGAACTTGCTCGGTCAGCCCGGCCTAGCTGCTCGACAACCTAGCCCATCCGATGCGGCAATGGTTAAGAGTGCAGCCCCTCTACCATCAAGTCGTGTCAGCGTATGCGATCTGAGCGATGAGTCTGAACAGAACTCGCGGTTCCTCGGGGAAAAGAGCGGGAAACCTGCATTTTTTGCCGCGAGGGAGGTCAACAAGGCCAAGGCGAATTTGGGTCACTTTACTTGGACGACCGCCCCACCCCCTGCGGTCTCTGCAGCGAACCAAACCATCGATGCTTTCCTTGGAGAAATGAGAGCGCATAAATTTGAAGGCCAATATGGTTCACTTACTAACCCGTTCGGCAGATGGGGAAACCATATGCTCGAACTGTCAAAATTCGCCGCTGCTAAGTCCGACTCCTCTGCTGCGGGGCGGCCAGAACCCATGTCTGGTAAGTTATTCGGGGGCCGACTGAGCGTTACAAGCTTAAAAAAGTCAGTTTCGAGTCTTCCCACCCGCGACTACTGCTCCTTCTTGGACAGACCAGACCAATCCCCTATTCCAGAGCGTCTTCCCAGTCCTCCATCGCTGGACATGACAAGCTCCCATGTTTACAACACGAGCAAGATCTCCCAGGTGTCTTCTTCAGAGCCAAAACAAAACCCACGTTCGGCAATCAAGATTCCGGACATCATCGACAGCGCCTCGCCTTTCCTCCGAGTCAACAACCTTAAGCGAAAGTCTGACAACTTGTCCAATGTTACGGACGAGGAACTTAGGAATTGGGCCAAGTCAAATGTTTCAGACGTCGCTCCGGGTAGTGGCGCTCCGCTTTCACAACCAGCCGATGGCGGAGAGGTTTCCGAGAGTGCTCTAGCAACATCTGATGCTCCCGAGCCTCGGCCCACGAAGCGGTTCAAGAAGCTGCTGGAGAATGTAGGCTACGTTGCTCTTGGAGGAGCTACCCTTTTCGCAGCACTCGTTGCAACCGCCCCAGACCTGATGTAAGCCGTGGCTAGGGATTGGCTGCTTGTGTAATATTTTTTCCTATCTCGGGGTGGTAGGAATGGCCCTATCGAAATGCGGGCTATTTCAACGGTGATGAATCGGAGGCTACCAAGGGACCGGAGTCATCACGGTGTTCGCTTGCGGGCAATCATGTTTTCTTTTTGCATTTTGGCGCTTTCGGTGGACAGCGCTAGGTTCCTTTGTGCAACGGCCTTATGATATTCTGCCTTCCGTAGGCTTTGATTGCATCAATTGAGCTTTTGTAAACGTTTGGAGTCCATTCTTTTCTCTGATCATACGACACTGGAAGTTCATACTCAGCGCACAGCTGCGCCCAATACGCAACGTATCACGATATGTGCCGTTATGTACGTACCTGAATTGCTATCTGCTTAATATAGATTTTACAAAAGACCCTTCATCTCAGTGGACATATCAGAGTGTTTTAAGGACTTGGAAATTATGGCAATGATCATCGCAATTTCTCTATCGGCCCTTTGCAAAGACCCATAATGCCGACGTTCCACAGATGCGAGCTACAGGCCTCCAATAAGCCACAGCCCAGCCGGGAAATTATCTTTTTATTTGCTGCTCTGTCCCCCATTCCCATGTGGTTTTGGCCGCACATAAAATGTCGCTGCTTGCCTTCCCAGAGCGCACTACGCTCAACAGTAGCCGCAAGGCCGCAAGGTAACAACTATTGCGGTAGCTGAAACTGAGTATCATGAGCGATCAGCTCACAACCTTGTACTTTCTGTTCCTGGGCCTGAGTAGTGGCATACTCGGGATATGCCTCCCTCCCCCTCCCTCTTCCCTTCCCAAGTCCAGGTCGATCCTGCACCTGCGCGCATTGCAGCAGCAGAATTTACCATGCGACGGGCTCTGCGCCCGAGAGAAGACACCTGGCCCATGGGAAGCGTTCCATGGCGTGTTTCTGTCGCAATGTGCCTGACTCGGGAGAACGATGATTTTGTGACGGATGATATATGCTGGCCTTATCCTGCCTGCCTGCCTTTGCTTCCTGCTGCCCGAGAATACGCAGGGTCGGAGGCCTTGCCGCAGTGTTTTCAGCTCGGGTTGGGCTTCTATCTGACGGGGGGGGCGGGCGAGAGAGTGTCTCCTGACCAGCAGTGCTGGCTTGGTACTGGATGTCACTTTGCGGGTTGATCCGAGGCCGTTTGACGGGCCAATGTCGATCTGGGATAAAAGATCCTGCTTCCGCGGGAGGACCCTTCTGCTGCTGCCAGCGAACAAGTCATTCATCCTCCTGCAAGAGTTTGGGGGGGGGAGGAGATCATGACCTGTGCTGGTCCCAGGAAGCTGCAGAAGAGTGTCGTACAACGGCTCGCTTATGTACTTAGGTCTTGTCTTGTGGAACGACATGACTTTTGACAGTGAACCTACCTAGGTATCCATCTATAGGGCACTCTCAACGGAAACTCGCCGTTTTTCTCTAGATATCACTACGCTACTTATCCAGAAATGAGAATATTCAGCGCCATCGGGAGAGGTGATAGGCAGGCCTGCAGTCTTGGCAATGGCGCTATAGTACCTTCCCAACTCGAGGATTCGTATCTCCTAAACACAAAGACTAAGTGAGGCCTCCCAGGAATCTCTCCCTCATCCTCCCGCGTTCTGTGAAGCTCAGGATCCCGTGCGCAACACCAGCTCCTGCCCAATAATAGCCTGCGTTGAAAGTACTTGGGGGCACACGAACTGAAGCCATGGCTTCAACGCCCGTCGGCTGCTACCGGATACCGCTGCTCATTTCCCTCGCACACCTGTACTTTTCGAATCACACGCCGTCCAGGAGCTCCGAGACATCTGTGGACTCGCCTTTCCCTTCGTCTCCATTCCGCTGGGTGGCCCAAGGCAGAGGGCTGGACGGAACGTGGTGCCTAATTGACTGATCAGCAGGCTGACCCTGGTGTAGTCTGATCGCCCTCCCTCCCGCACTCGGAGAGGTCCTTCAGCTGCAGTTGTGTACAGCACTTGTCTGCAGCGCGCGACGTGCATCTCTGGTGTTGACGCTGGCTGCGAAGCGACTCGACTCTGCTCGGTCTCTCTGACCATCTCGGAATCTCAACGTAGGAAGGGTTTTGGTCCAATGGCTAGATCCGATTCTCGCAACAGGACCAAAGTGGAAGTCAGCCAATGATCGTAGAAGCGAGAATAGGCATGTGTGCTGTGCTGGCTGCTCACGGCTGAGGGCATGGTGGGAGAGAGAGAGAGAAAAGTATAAAGAGGTCGTGGTCTCCGTGCCGAGAAGGATTTCTATCTCATTAACAACTACGACACTTCTAAATAGCAGGCACCCGCTCAAGAGACTGCTCTTTCTATATACTCTGTCCCGAAGATCAGACACATTCCACAGTCCTCTTCGTTCACCCATTCTATCAGCTACTACACAGACACCTTCTTCTTCTATCAACAACCTCCAAAGATCTACGCAATGACTTACTCGGCAGCGCTCTTCTCACATACTGTCAGCTCTCCCTCCGACGGCGTCGAGTGGCAGACTTGTCCAGACTGCGCCGGGGGCCGCACGTAAACTAGCCTCTTCTTCTTCTTCTTCTTCGTCGCAGGCAAGCAACGCTAACCATACTCTCTAGCCGCGACAGCTGCGAAAAGTGCAACGGGAGCGGCGTCATTGGCATCGCAACCGGCGATACCATGTTCTCCACTCCCTTGGCCGCCATCCGCAGCTGGACAACCTGCGCAGACTGCAGAGTCGCAGGCACGTAGTAAGCCATTTACAGTTTCTTCATTCCAGAGGGGGGGGGGAGGGGGGCCAGTGCACATGCTTGCTTGAGACGTACAGACATCCTTGACCAGTTCCAATCCAATCCATCACTGGACTGACTAACTCCCATGATAGCTGCGTGACTTGCAACGACATCTGTGTCGTCGTCGGCACGGCTGATGGCCGCAGCCAAGCCCACGCTCTCGCCATCTCTCTCTCCATGTTGCCGTCCGACGACTTCGGCTCCTGGCAACTCTGCAGCACTGCTTAGGAAACCTGTTCCGCATCGTGGCTGCGGGCTGGAGGTAAGCAAGCGCACGGATCTCACCAGAAACGAAGAAGAAGAAGAAGAAGAAGAAGAAGAAGTTTAAATTGGGCAAAGCATACGCTGACCTCCTCGCTCGCCGTGCGTGCCAGTTAACATGCGTGCAGAACTACGACCGGCAGGCTGATGAAAACTTGCACCCACATCAAACGTTCCAGACGCATCACTTCTCCCCGGAACCAGTAGTCGCATCTGCGGAAATTCCTCCACCTCCGTCTCTAGTACCGGCAACGGGACGAACCGCCCAGCTTGCCGAGCGGTCATCTGGAGCGGTCCTGTGTGTGTGTGTATTTTGTTTTCTCTCGCTTGTTTTCTCTTCCTTGTTTTCTCTTCCTTGTTTTCTCTTCCTTGTTTTCTCTTCCTTGTTTTCTCTTCCTTTTTTTATTTTTTTTATTTTTTATTTCTTTTTTTTTTTTGAGGGGAGGGAGGTGCGCGGGAGGGGCGTCGTTGCGGAAATCGGGACGTTTTTAGGGCTCTTGGCTGCCCTCGCTTCACCCCTCGCCTCGCCTGTGTTGACATTGATCATCGCGCAATATCCGTATATCTCCTCTTTTCATCCGAAGCACACACATGCGCTCACTCACTCGCTCACTCACCCACTCGTCCATTCCGATTGGCATGCATTCATTTTCCGCGTCCTCTGGTAGAGAGGCAAGAAGGAAAGCTTATAGAGCGTCATCGATCCCGGGATCATTGGGGGGGGGGGG